TACTCCCGCATTGAGTTGTTACATTCAAAGTGTGCTGCTCAGCTTTCCGTGAAAGTTCTCCAATCAGCTTTTGAAATGACTCGAAGCTTGTAATGGAAATTCTCCAAATTTGTCATGGAAGTTCTACACAGTTCCCATACAGTCTAACGAAGTTTTTCCAAATTCCTGTGGAAGCTATCTGAAACTGCTTAGGAATTTTTCGAAACCTTCTAAAGAAGTTCTTCCAACAAGTTGTACAAGTACAACCATGAAATGCAAAGGAAATAGATCCAACCTTACATAGGATGCAAGGGAAATTTGTTTTGCATGCATGGATGATGTGGCAGTTCAACCCACAGTTGATGATCTCCAAACTCTCTGTGGAAGTTGTCCAAACTTCCTGCGAATGTTCTCCAAAACTCCTATGAAAGTTCTCCAAACTTTCCTTTTCTCAAAACTTCCCGTGGCAGCTTTTCATAATTCTGTGGAAGTTCTCCAAACGTCAATGCCCTTTAAACATCTCCAAACTTCCCAATCAATTCTTCAAATTTCCTGTGTAATTTCTCCAAACATCCTATGTAACTGTTCCAATTTGTTTGAAATTTCCGCTGAAGTTCTCCAAATTCCCCAACGGAACTTCTCCTTCTTGTTTTGCGAGCTTCTTCTCTTGTCATTTGAAATTTACACTATTCAGTAAGTTTTGTTCGCACAGAAACTTTGAACTAAGAAGATCACCCCATCAGAAAGGTATCTTCGCAAGGGTGGGTTAACTTTATCGCGATGATTAATTACATGCCACAACGAAAGCACTTGCTTACGAGTGAAAACTCTTGTAAAGCCAGCTCCGCGTGCAGCCACATTGCGTTGAACAAACGACATCCGACCTCAGAGTCAGTAATTTGATGCCTTCATTGGGACGAAAGCGATTGTTATACGAGGTGGTAAAAGGCCCCTAATAGGGGTAAGTGTGAAAGGGTTGCTCACAGTCAACTATTACCCGTTAGACTGGCTGCTAGTGCTTTCCAAATTTCCCCCATTCCGCAATCAAAAACCAGAAACGGTGGAGCGGCGGAGGAGGAGGAGGAGGTTCGTAATGAATGAAAATTCACCCCGCTCCAATCCACCAGTCGTGGCATATCGCATCGGTGCGGTGAAATAACCACACGTATAAAATAGCGCTGCCAAATGGGAGCCGAATGCCATAAACTAACGGGCACAAACCAAAACAATGTGTAATATGGTGCGGCAAGCCGGGACAACCACTGCATTGTGTTGGGAAATTTTAAGACTTTTCATGCACCCCCTTCCTAGTAGGTAAGCGATGTTAAGGAGAAAGTAGTGCTTTCTTAGCGGGAAAAATCATTTTCCTTTGTCTTGCTCGGGTTGATGGGATGGAGGGGAAAACGATATACTGCGGTTTGATGAGGAGAAGGAGTGTACAGTCAGTGTGTGTTTATTTATTGTACGATTTCGGAGAGCAAGGCAAAAAAGCGACCTGCTGCTGTTACAAACCCGGAGCTCGTTACTTCTGTCCAACGAACGAGAGGAGTGTTTGTACTTGGCAAGATAAGGCACTCGAAGTCATCCTTTCAACATCTTGGAATGAACCTTTCTTTGCCCAGTTGTAACAACCCGTCCTGGATGTAAGAACAAATGAGGAAAAGATAAACAGCATCAGCTAAAAATACGATTTATTGCTGCCTTTTGAGGTTGGATCTTTTTTTCAAGTTCAATTGTATGCCTTGAAGAAAGGTCGCTTTAGGCGAAGGAAAACGGCTGACAGTCATCTAAAATATTACATTTTAATGTTTGTATTAGTGTCGAAGGTATCTTTGATCAAATTGACGAATCACAACATCGCACATTGCCATAAAACATCGGGTTTTTAAGTCGAGTAATTGCATCATTTGTTATCTGTGTTAACATTTATGAATCCCTGCACCCCTGGACCAATGTTGATTGTTCCTCTGCTACCGTGCTAGAAGGGGTCGCTTTCTAATTGGAGCAAAATTTATGACAACATCGTTAATTTGAGAATTTCAATGGTTTGATAAGAGGCACCTCTCTTCTTTCGTGCGCTATCTGGATTCTTTATGGAGGACATTAATTCTAACCCGAGCATTACCACTGGAAAAACAGATGTCAGAGGGCTTGGGGTTATGGCTGTACGGGGAGTTGACAGATTCTCGCACATCCGGCTGAGGGAGGTTTACCGAAAATTAAGGCCCATAATAAAGATGTTCATCCACCCACTCTCACAAACACACACACACACTAGTCACAGCGGGATACACAGCCAATTAAGGAACGTCACCTCATTCGGAGAAATCAACTGAAATTCTATTCAAACGTCGATTTAACCACCATCACCAAAGCCACTCGGTTTGACAATCGCACACACTCTGGAGAAAAGCGACAGATCGTTAGCATAAATCAGAGCAGGCAAGATTTTACAGAAGAGAGTGTGACACCGTGGTGATTGCCTCACAACATGGCGAAGGGGAGAGTTTGTTTCTTCGACCTCGACTTCTCGAATGTCACAAAAGTCGAACCCGTAAATCCACGAGATAAATCTTCCCCGGTTCTTCTTCGGTGTCGTGGTAGAGTATAAATATGGGAAATGACACTTTTCCTAAGCCACCCCTCACATACGGCGCGGCGGCAGAAAAGAAATCGAATTCGAATCGAATCTAGTGAGCCGTGAAAAAGGAAGCAGTGTGTTTGGATTTGCGAGTGCGGGTTGCTTGGATCAGATATCTGCTATACCTATGTAGTCATATGTTGGTGCGTTCAGATGTGTGGCATTGATTCTAATGAGGGATGATAATGATTCAATTTAGAAGCGATTTTGTTGGTTATTGAGAGGGAAGCGTTGGGATTCGAGAGATTATCCTTTTCTCCGTAAACTCTTTTTATCTAATGTTAAGCATTTTCAAAAAAATGCAGAAAGCTTTGAAATTTAGAGACTTTTGCTTGTTATAGCACTTAGGTGCAGCTTCTTAGCCACATCCCTAACGGAGGCGTTCGGATTTCGGTTGAAGGCCCCAACTACGCGGTTGTGATTTTTGGTGTTGTACGGAATACTTTTTCCTTCACTTCTGGGCTTCCGATCGGTGGTCAACCGTTCCTCGAACCGCTTAATCACTCGCGACACCGTGGAATTCGCGATTCCCAACGTTTTAGCGATGGAACGATGCGAGAGATCCTTGTTCTCGTGATGAATGCGCAAGATTCTATCACGCACGAGCTGTTCTTTCGACTCCATTTCCGCGAGTTTTGATCACAGGACTTTAAAACTTGCAGGATGTAAATAATGCACTATGAACTATGAAATGGAAGTTTAGGTGACAGAATTAAAATTTTCTTCGTGACTCCAACAAATATGTATTCCTATATACCCTCTTTGCAATCCGCATTATTTCCAAAGCCCAAAATAATCCACACACTGAATTGAACATCACAGTCCATTACCATCTATTTACCAGAATCGTGTAGCAGCATAGAGAAATAACAAACGATTGATAACGATTTTCTCCATGCATTGCTCAAATAACTACACGGCAGATGCGACTAACTCAGAGAGCTAGTCACATCTACTCAACTGAAAGAGAAATTTATAAAAACGGGGGTCACTTATCTGAGTAGAAGTGACTCCATCTCTGAGCTAGTCTTCGTTAGGTTCCTACCGATTTTTAAGCACTTCAACCCCACACCAGGTACACATATAATTCAGATCACCGAAGTCGGTAGGAATTTGAACAGCAGAACAACTCGGTAAAATTTTCAAATGACCGTTACACGTGAGGAATCAAGAAAATTTATAAATTTTATTTTTCATCAATAAATGGGGTAAACTGAACAACTTCTGTACTAGTTCGGGATAATTTTTTTTAATAATTGGAATTTTCACTGATTTTCAAACTTTTACCGAACAGTTCTGTAGTTCAAAATTTACCGAACGACGGAGGCCTGGATTAGTGTGTAGGGGTATTCGAATGTTAATTTATTTTTATTTCATTTCACTTTCTTCCTGTGGTAATTCCTCTCCGTTTGAGGTGTGCCACGCTCTGAATGTACTGACGACTATATATGGAAATGAGGCCGAGCCGGGAGATAATGATGTGACGGGAGTTGGGGTTCGGATCTCGTGTGCGTAATCGGAGCAGGCGAATGGTAAAGGAAAACAATTTCCCCCACGCCTTCTACGACAATGAGGACAACGACCGACGCGTAATAGAAAGATTCAACGCACAAACGGAGCCTGTTTGAGGCAAGGTGATGAATATGATGATTATTGCTTTTGTTATTGCTATTGCTGATTAGCTTCTGGTTCCACTCACTGCTTGCCATTATTGCTGAAGATGCGATGGAAGAAATGTGAAAGGAAGCGAGGTCGGGGGTGGAGATACGTATGTGTTATATTCGCTGGTTACTTAGCTGATGATTACGGAAATGAGGGGTTCTGCGATTCAATTAGGTGGAACAAATCTATCTTTCGAAAGGTGATGGAAATTCTGTTTGGTAAAATTAGAATCACAAATTGGTCCTGTTTCCGTCGCAATGAATAAAATGCGAACGAAGCCAGATGCAAGATGGGTAGCTTAAGTAGTTATTATGACAGCTTGGTTTGCTAAGATGTAGATAATTGAGTTGCAACTGAGTCAACAACTTGAGCGGTGCCGGTGGTGTACTGGTAAGCGTGATGGCCTCTCACAGCAGGCCTGGGTTCAGTCCAAGTCGGCGCCGCCGGGATGTTTTGAGGCAGGGAAGTAAATCCGTTGGTCCCCTGTTCATGAGTTGATGGGTCTATAGGTAGGGTCCAGGAGTGGGAGCTGCCTCCCTGGCGTCGGTAGCATTGTTGCTCAGCACGAAAAACAAGATCGTCGGAAAACAAATCAAGGAAGAAAAAAACTGAGTCAACAAATATAATCAAACATGGGTTTGCTGGGATTAATAATGCCACTACGAAGGCTTGTAGGCTTCATTGTTCATAGTCCAATACGTTGAAGTTGTTCGTTAAAATGATGCAAGGGAAAATAGTTCTTCTGTTGTTATCGTTTTTCATTTCATCGGTTAAGTGTTCAAATTTCAAGCTTAAGATAATCCATTTCAACGACCTGCACGCGAGATACGATGAAGTGACAAATCGATCGATGCCATGCGCAGCTGGCAGTAAAGAATGCATAGCAGGAGTGGCTCGATTAGTGACAACGATTGAAAAATTGAAGAAGGAAAATACTAATCATTTGGTCCTAAATGCTGGCGATGCGTTTCAGGGAACCGTTTGGTACAGCTTGCTGAAATGGAACGTCACTCAACGGTTTATGAACATTATCAAAGCTGATGCCATGGTCCTGGGAAATCACGAGTTTGATGATTCGATCGAGGGTTTGATTCCCTTTTTGAACGCAACGAAGGATGTCACACCCGTGGTCGTATCAAATTTGATTATTCCGAAAAAGAATACAACTGAATTCAACGCATTGCGATCATTGGTAAGGCATGATCCGATCAAACTGAAGGTTGGTGGTGAAACCATAGGAATTATCGGAGTGATCTATGATGAGACTGACAAAATAACTAATACGGGGTCGATTAAATTTAAAAACTACATTTCATCAGTCAGAAAGCAAGCAACGGAACTGAAAATGGATGGTGTCAACAAAATCATAGTTCTGTCGCATTGTGGAATTTTTGAGGATAAGAAGATTGCTGAACAAGCAGGCCAGGACATTGACATCATAGTAGGTGGTCACTCGCATTCGCTGCTTTACAATGGTGTTGCTCCATCGAAGCATGCGGTTTTCGACAAATATCCAATGGTTATTGACAACGGGATGGGCAACAAAGTGCTCATTGTGCAGGCATTCTGTCATGGAAAATACGTGGGAAATATTGATTTGACTTTTGATGCATCAGGAAAGATCGTGTCTTACGAAGGACAACCAATTTATCAAGGTAATTCCATAGAAAAAAATACAACCGTGGAAACAGTCGTACAGGATGTGAAGAAAGAGGTTGAATCCAAATCGTCGGTACGAGTTGGTGAGACAGAGATTGAACTGAATAATGATTGTCGTGTGAAGGAATGTTCACTTGGAAGTGTTCTTGCCAATGCCTACATTTGGCACTATCGAAACGCTCGTAGCTCACCGACAATTGCTATGATCCACCCTGGAAATTTCAGAACAATTTTAACCCGTGGTGGTGAGTAATAAATGAATGAATACAGTTTGATCAAATACTAAACTTTAAATCATAGGAATTACTAGAGGTGAGCTACTGACAGCAATTCCATTCAGTTCGACTGCCAATAGAATCTCAGTGTCTGGTTCGACCATCAAGAAGGCTATTGAATATGGAGTGACACTTAGTCGAAGATGCACATTCAACACACCACAAATTTCCGGAATCAAAGTAAGCGTTGACTTCGCAAAGGACGCAGGTAATCGAACCAAGGTTGATGTAAAACAAGGTGACGCATACGTAGAGTTGGACGAAACGAAGACATATGATGTTGTGGTGAATTCCTACATGATCAAAGGTGGCGATGGTTTTGACATGTTCAAAAATGCTACCGTCAAAGGGTAACTGTATGAGGGATTCATTAAATGATAGAACTTATTAATCCAAAATTTCAGATGGGGACCAACTGATGCAGAAACCTTCGAGCAGTACATCAACGGAACCGGTATCATAAAAGCTACAACATTACGTGAGCCAAGAATCGAAGTTTTGCACGAAGAACAAGCTTTGAAGGACACAAACAAATGCACAAATTGAAGAAAATAATCGAAATTTGGTTTTCTAGTGACGTGTGATAAATTGTTCTGAGTTTGTCATTTTTGAAAGATATGCATCATCTGCATTGCTTACTTGGTAATGCAAACAGGTGGCCTGTCAATTACTTTGAGAAACACCAGCTCTAATCACTCATTGGAATATATGAGTGTTTATCAACCTGTGCTCCTAAACATGTGTTTTTCGTAGCACCACATCTCATGCAATAACTGCCCTTATGAAACTTATGCAGAAAATGCAATAAATGCAACCTAACATTGGATGTAAGAGTTGGTTGGAAATGCTAACATGAAGCTTTAGTGTGATAATTTATAAGCTAGAGAATGATCTTTAGAAGAGGGTAGGTGGATAGTTCCATTAGAGTACGGCAGTATAAAAATGGAATAGAAGTTGAAAATGAGCGAAGGGCCATTAATGCGACAGTTTTTAAAGATAGACGCACATTTTTGCCTAACCCGTACGATGTACGCGGAGACTTGAAGTATGTCTCCAAGTCTACAGGCAAAAAATGTGCGTCCCTCTTTTGTTCATAAACTGACTGCGGATGTGGAATAGTTCTAGCGACGCTTTCATCACTACCTAAAGCCCCACGTTGCGAGAGCATATTCAATTTTCAAACTGCCATACTCTAACGGAACTATCCACCTACCCTCTTCTAAAGATCATTCTCCAGCTAATAAATTATTACACTAAAGCTTCATGTTAGCATTTCCAACCAACTCTGAATTTCGCTAACTTCGCGTATGAAGTAACAAAAATAAAACACTTTGAATTGGATGTAAGATTAATTTGTTCAAAATCTCCAGAACCAAAATTGAGATTAATATCTAGAATCATTCTTGAGATTCACCGGAGTCCATCGTAAGATTCTTAGGTATTTTTTTTTTGGAATATTCTGGAATCCCTCCTGGGTTTCGTCAAAATTCCTAGAATAATACGGAATCCCATTTGTAATTCTTCGGAATTCATCTTTGGATTCTACAAAATTTTGCTATGGAAACTGGCAATTGATACCTAGCTTGCTGGAGCGCTGCCCAAGTAACCACCAAGCCCGTTAATAGTTTTCAATATAAGACAGATATACAGCTTTAAATTTTTATATTAGCCTTATTTCAGAATTTTTTGCACTTTTTTGCATTAGCGGGCTGCCATGGTTACTTGGGTGAACCACTGCAACCAGTTTGATTATCTATTGGCAGATTATGGATCTAGACCAACATTGATCTTCAAAGGCATATTTCTGTCAGTTCTGATCCAATATCAGTTGGAGAAAACTTCATCTACAAAATGGTGCTGGTAATTTTCGCGAGAGAGATCAAGAAATGTCACTTCTGACATCATGAATCTGTAAATGCAGTTATTGCTCTCGTAGATGCAAGATGCCAAACAAGGAACCCAAGTAACAATTTTGGTTTTACGAGGATTCTGTAGACCACGATTTAGGTTTGCAGAATGCTATAAAACCTCTATTAACTCTTCGGACACCACACTGAAAATGGAGTCGACATTTTTTTCAAAATGATGTATCGCAGTCGCTATTTATCCGTTTTCAAATGTTTTAATACCGTTTAATAGGTCACATCCTAATCTTTTCTTTAGTTTGTTATTCACGCTCTCTGATTGTGTCAAAGCTTCATAAAATCAGGATTACCAAATTATAACAAAATTTTCGGAAGGTCATTATTCATTCTGTAGGGCAATTAAAAATGTGTGCATGGTGCATTCTATTAGATACTTTCATAGGCTTTCAGGAAAAAATATAAAAGGACAAACCGATCAACTTCAACTTGCTGAAACGACATGTCTACCGACTCGACAAAAACTGAAAAACCAAAAGATTGATTAACTATCAAACTTGTCATTGTGTGTTATGCTAAAATCAATCAAATTAATACCCTTTCCAACAAGATAACGACATCAAAAATACATGAAAATTTACCGAAGATATTACAAAAATAGTGAAAAGTGTGATTTAGGTGTGGTGTTCGAAGAGTTAAGCTTGCAATGTTACCTGGGAAGGCATAGTCTGCTAAATCCAAAAATATATATATTTTGTTTTAATTCTGGTTAATAGATCCATCCAAAGATTCAGTTCCAAACTAACGAGATAATCCTAAACAATATTGGCAAAGAATTTTCTTCTAGCAATGAGCGTAAATGAGCAAAATGAGAATACAACTTATATACTAGTAAAGACTCTATACCAAAATAAACTTCACGCTGCTAGATGGATCAAGTCCAGTCAACTTTGTCCTAGTCAAAAACCTTGCATCGGATGAAGGGCATCATACATATAATATCAAAGCAAAGTTTTAATCTCTAGCGACACCCAGTGACTCCATTCCTAACAAAACCATTCACTGCCAGAATGGTCTTATACCGATCAACAACGCTGCTGGAGACAAGAAACTTCAATTTGGTGAAAATTCTGACCTATTTCTATTTGAACATTGATATTACCTAGAGAGTCACTACTAAACGGGTGTTGTACGTTTAAAAAGCTTTGCTGAAGATAGGAAACTTCTATTATGTCGCGATCTTTAGTTATCATTAGATTAACATTATTCGAAACCCCAGCGTAATACAGGGTGCGTGACGAATTTTTACAGTAAATGTCATATTTGAGAAAAAATACACCAGTTAGTTATTCTAGCAATGAATTTTGTGCGATTTATTTTCTTTCGCAACATATGGAACTTGTAAGTAAAATTATTCAAAAAAATTGCCTTCCCTTTCGACGACTGTAGTTAGACGCTTCCGGAAACTGCAGTATGTACGTTTTAAAATGTTTCGATCCATAGATGTCATCACTGCCTTGATTTTAGCTTTTAGCGACTTAAGTGTGGTGTGAGGGGTTCTATTGGTATCCCGTTGGACGACGCTCTATACAAAATAATCTAACGGATTGATATCGGGACTGCTTGGGGGCCAAATTTCTTCCTCCCAAATTTACGAAATATTTTCCGTAATTCATTTCTGTGCTTTTTTAGCAGTATGAGCAGCTGCTCCGTCTTATCACTTTCCCAAGCCTTTTCAATATTATACACTGTTTTTTCAGACACATTTACCGACCGAATTATTTCTTTCATGCATACTCCGGCGCGCAACAAAGCGACAACGGCTGACAGATTGCTCTCTTGTTTCGACATCTTTACGTTTACTCAACATTGTTTGTTTAAATCTTACACCTAACAGTATAAGCTATCCAGTGCTGCCAAATATATCTAAATCATGATGCACAAGCATGAGAAATTACTATTTGAAATTTACTGCAAAAAATCGTCACGCACCCTGTATAGTGGGTCAATTTCAATCTAAAATGTGCCCTACTGAACGGTTTTAGTCCATTGGAAGAATTTTGCTGATGGTAGATCTGGTCACGATCCTGAGCTATTACTAGAAGATTTTTTGTGTGCTAAACTGTTCACTTGCACAGTGGTCTTTTACAGATAGACAACTTTGCTGAAGGTGGGGGCTTCTTTTAGTTCAGTTGTTAAAGGCGCAGCTATGAATAAAACCATGCAGAAGGCGGCTGGGTTGCATTCCCTGTCTGATCTAGGAATTTTTTGGGTTAAAAAATTCTTCGACTTCTCTGGGCATAGGATTGTGGAATTGCTCAAAAAAAACACCAAGTTGAGGGCTGGCGTAAAGTCCCAGTATTTACGTAATACAGCCAAAGAATAATAAGTGAAGACAAAAAAGTTCAAACTGGTTACGCTCCTGAGTTATCATCATTAGAAGAATTCTATACAACTTTCTCTCTCTCTCATAAGTCAACTCCCAACTAAACAATTTAATACTAAACGAGTCTCGTTCATTTAAACAGCTTTGCTGAAGACAACCAACTTCTATCATGTGGCGATCTTTAGTTATCACTTGAACAACGTTATTTGTACTCTGGTGCCTCCTAGTGAATCAACTATGAACTAAACTATCCACTGCCAGACGGGATTTTCCAGCTGAATAACTTGACCGAAGACTGAATCTTTCAATCGGTCATAGTTTAAGAACTACCTATAATTAAAGACAACATATCAAGAAGACTGGCAACTTTGCCTGAATTCAAGCGACATACACAGTAGCGCTGCGCTCGAGCGAAGGTGTAAGCAACGCATAGAAAAATGAGCTAATACACAAACCTTTATTCTGAGGATGGAACCTTCGCTATCCAATTTGTTCGTAGCATTTATCTTTGAGCGGCAGATGACGCGGTTCTGCCTGTCTCATACCGGACGTATGAGAAGATGGAAGAGTTGCTAGTCTTCTTGATATGTTATCTTTGCTATAATACACGACGGGACTGCTCGTGTAACTTTTATTGGAGCGACTGCTGGAAGGTTAAGGAGGCTAGTGGTGCCAGTGGTGTAGCGGTAAGCGTGATTACCTCTCACCCCAGCAGGCCTGGGTTCAATCACATAACATATGTGGAGCTCGATAATCAAAAATCGACCCCATTTCAGTGATTTCAAGGGGTATAGAAATACATCGATCTGTCAAATTAATTATATCAGCTGTAAAATGAAAAAGGGAATCGAGGGCGTAGTCAATTCTATTAAAATAATTATAGCGTGGTTTATAATTCTCTGTCTGCTTAGAACTTTTGAACTGATGCCTTGGTTTTTCCTTAACTATTAACGTCCATTATTTATAGCTATATAGCTAGCTCCTCACCTCGCGTCACACAGCAAACAAATATATTAACGTTTGAAATCAAATAAAGTATAAATTTTTCGCCGATTTTGAATGCAATGACCTGCCACCCAACGAGTAATCCTGAAATGTCATTGTAAACCGTACGTATTGTTTTTCTGTAGTTATGGCAAAAAAGTGGGGAAACTCCACGCCAATACTTCTTCTAATCTTAAATATTTTTGTGTACTCAGAAGAAAAATGTATGTACCATTTTGGATTCGTAGGAGGAAAAATACGACCCCGCAAATTAGGAGTTAACTGCATACATTTTGAAGTCCAAAGATATGCAGCATCATTTTGCAACAAGTGTCCCGGTTTATGCGGAAATTATGCAGTGTTTTGAGCTGACCATCGTCACATTCGCAAGAATTTTTACAAGCAAATCGATAAACTAAATCGAGTGTTTATCGGTACCTGTAATACCCAAGGATTCAATGCTCCATATGCTTCTCAGCTGCGGCCAATT